ACGATGACTGAATAGGACGATGAGTTATAACAACTCGCTTGTTAGCGGGTTCGAGTGTATCAGTACGGATTGTATGATAATTACAGTGAGCACTTGTTGATAACAAACAAAACGGGTATTTTTAAAGGTACACTACCGACACATTATTATGATTTAAATAAAGTATTAGTAGAAGTAAACAAACTATGTAACAGGCCGTTTAACAAATACATGGGTACAAAATATAGGGATACACACACAAATCACGGAAACGGAGGAAGCTTAGAATTAAGGTCACCGATTCTTTCTAGTCTGAATTTATAGTCATTTTGGCCAACAACAAAGACTTTACCATTGGTGAACCAGGCTGACTTTACCCGACGACTATTGCGAGCCGAGTCCAATAGTTTCACATTTTCAACAGTCATATCTTCCACAATAACTACACCAGTACCTTTAAGATTTTTTCTGTTTGATAAAACACGAAATCTTTCGTCACGGCGTATGAATCTCACAATAATGCCCCTTGGGCGGGGTATCTCAGTATTCGTACCCGATCCTCTCCCTTTGGGTACTCCTACTCTGTGGGCGGCGTCGATACTTATTTCACTGGTAATACCTAATTTCTCACGGAATAGCTTTTTGGCAATAGCTATACAATCCTCGCCGTCTGATTCGACAATTCCAAAAATGCGAATATGGGCTTTCCTCGTGTACTGTTCTAAACTGTTGATTTTAGAGCTCAGTTTCTCAAATTCTATAGTCTTTGCATCTAGTTTATTTTGCAAATCAGTTAATTGATCATAAAACTGGTCGTGTGTTATACTGACAGAGTGGTGAGACTCTTCGATTTGACACATACGGTCATCCAAACATTTTAATCGACCATCAACATACAATCTAAGGTTTTTATCAAAAAGTTCAATTGCCGTACTTACTGCCACTTTAACTGCTTCTTCAATCATGCGGGTCAGAGCTTCCCTGTGTTCAAGTAAACCAGCCATTTTAATCTTTTGAGAGTTACTATTTTAAACACACTGAGTTCGAGTTCATCATATACGAATATGGACTACTGACACACGAATTGATCCAAATAACCACATGAATTCCTCGATTATATTCACAAATCACTATAATAAGATCGCATACTCTAACTACATTATTTTAGCTCATTCATAATGACAAATGACGCCTAAATAAAGTTAAACTTCCATAATTATTTAGAGAGCATTCAAAAAACTTCTTATTGCCGCCATCTTGTCACGTGTCACGTGTCATGTCTGACTAGAGCTCTAGACTGTTGATTTGGCTGTAATTACCAGTCATGTCTGACTAAAGCTCTAGAGTGTTGATTTGGCTGTATTTACCAGTCATATCTGACTAGAGTTCTAGACTGTGGATTTGACTGTATTTACCAGTCATGTCTAACTAGAGCTCTAGACTGTTGATTTGGCTGTATTTACCAGTCATGTCTGACTAGAGCTCTAGACTGTTGATTTGGCTGTATTTACGAGTCATATCTGACTAGAGCTCTAGACTATTGATTTGACAGTATTTACCAGTCATGTCAGACAAGAGTACTAGACTGTTGATTTGACTGTATTTACGAGTCATGTCTTACTAAAGCTCTAGACTGTTGATTTGGCTGTATTTACCAGTCATGTCTGACTAGAGTTATAGACTGTGGATTTGACAGTATTCACCAGTCATGTCTGAAAAGGTCTCTTAACTTAGGGTTGTATTTGACGCTCATTTCTGGCTCAAGTTTATAACGTGTATATTTGATTTTGTGTTTTAGGATCATGAAATTATATGTTGAATACCAGACGAAAATAATGAAGAAATTCAGGCCTCTGAACTTGAGATTTCTTTTTTTTCTAATATATGTTTGTAAATACAATAATACAAATTTTCACTGCTAAAATATTGCTCAATACAATATTAGAGCGATATAGAAATATCAAAACTAGTTCTCCAGCTTTAGTAGGACGCATGCTGAAAGTAGGTCAGTTGTCTGATGACCGCATAGTGTGAAACTCTGAGTAAAAACATGATTCAAGTTCTGTTTTTAATAGTTCTATTTTTGTACATAATAGAAAAATGCTTAAGATACACTTTATTACAAGAATCCTGTCAAGGAGTCGATTATCCATTACAGGATCCCTGCCACACACCCATTGTCGCCCATCCGTGCCGTTCATGGTTTAGTGGCAAAGTTCAATTTTCGTAGGTTTTGTGAACTTTTGGCAGTTCTAGTAAGGCATATTTAAACTAATGATAATAAAATTTTAAATATTATAGACATACAGCTTGTACACATAAATTAGGTTGCATACAGTAACCAGTCCTTTTCATGGCGACCTGGGAACGTGAGATATTATCCCTTTGTCAATATGGACACATTTTTAAATGGACGCTTTTAAGGTACCTTGAGAGTTCTGCAACATATTACGGCAATGAATGGCAGACATTATTGTAAAGATATTCCTGTATTTTACCTGTATTGATGTTCCTGTGTTTTACCTGTATTGATGTTCCTGTGTTTTACCTGTATTGATGTTCCTGTGTTTTACCTGTATTGATGTTCCTGTGTTTTACCTGTATTGATGTTCCTGTATTTTACCTGTATTGATGTTCCTGTGTTTTACCTGTATTGATGTTTCTATGTTTTACCTGTATTGATGTTCCTGTGTTTTACCTGTATTGATGTTCCTGTATTTTACCTGTATTGATGTTCCTGTGTTTTACCTGTATTGATGTTTCTATGTTTTACCTGTATTGATGTTCCTGTGTTTTACCTGTATTGATGTTCCTGTATTTTACCTGTATTGATGTTCCTGTGTTTTACCTGTATTGATGTTCCTGTATTTTACCTGTATTGATGTTGCTGTATTTTACCTGTATTGATGTCCCTGTGTTTTACCTGTATTGATGTCCCTGTGTTTTACCTGTATTGATGTTCCTGTGTTATTGATGTTCCTGTATTTTACCTGTATTGATGTTCCTGTGTTTGACCTGTATTGATGTTCCTGTATTTTACCTGTATTGATGTCCCAGTGTTTGACCTGTATTGATGTTTCTATGTTTGACCTGTATTGATGTTCCTGTATTTTATCTGTATTGATGTTCCTGTGTTTGACCTGTATTGATGTTCCTGTGTTTAACCTGTATTGATGTTTCTATGTTTGACCTGTATTGATGTTCCTGTATTTTACCTGTATTGATGTTCCTGTGTTTTACCTGTATTGATGTTCCTGTGTTTTATCTGTATTGATGTTTCTATGTTTGACCTGTATTGATGTTTCTATGTTTGACCTGTATTGATGTTCCTGTATTGATGTTCCTGTATTTTACCTGTATTGATGTTCCTGTGTTTGACCTGTATTGATGTTCCTGTGTTTGACCTGTATTGATGTTTCTATGTTTGACCTGTATTGATGTTACTGTATTTTACCTGTATTGATGTTCCTGTATTTTACCTGTATTGATGTTCCTGTGTTTTACCTGTATTGATGTTCCTGTGTTTTACCTGTATTGATGTTTCTATGTTTGACCTGTATTGATGTTCCTGTATTTTACCTGTATTGATGTTCCTGTGTTTGACCTGTATTGATGTTTCTATGTTTGACCTGTATTGATGTTCCTGTGTTTTATCCGTATTGATGTTTCTATGTTTGACCTGTATTGATGTTCCTGTATTTTACCTGTATTGATGTTCCTGTGTTTGACCTGTATTGATGTTTCTATGTTTGACCTGTATTGATGTTCCTGTATTTTACCTGTATTGATGTTCCTGTGTTTGACCTGTATTGATGTTCCTTTACCTGTATTGATGTTCCTGTGTTTTATCTGTATTGATGTTCCTGTATTTTACCTGTATTGATGTTGCTGTATTTTACCTGCATTGATGTTCCTGTGTTTTACCTGTATTGATGTTCCTGTGTTTTACCTGTATTGATGTTCCTGTGTTTTACCTGTATTGATGTTTATTGTTTCTCCCAGAATAAATAGTCTTGAAACCTTCTAAGTTATTATGTTGTAGTTTTGTAACAACAATGTACGACGTTTATCAAATCATATCGTTCTACAAAATAATGTAAAATGAAATGAATGAAGTTTTGCGTCTAACGTTTCTGCATCATGTGGGCTAATGAAGTCGGGCAACGCCAGGCAGGTGTAATGAGGGAAATTTTGCTCTAGATTGATTTCCAACTGTAGAGTGGTTTTTAACGTGCATAGTCTGTAGCACACGGTGCCTCGGTTTATTATCCCTTCCGAATGACTAGACACTTTTTCCATGCCAGTCCCTCTTAACTGCATCACTGACAGTGGGAACGACATGACATGAATCATTCTATAAAATACAACAGGAACATATTCTCCAGGGAATGTTACAACATAAAAATATTCTCCAGGGAATGTTACAACAGGAATATATTCTCCAGGGAATGTTACAACAGGAATATATTCTCCAGGGAATGTTACAACAGGAATATATTCTCCAGGGAATGTTACAACATAAAAATATTCTCCAGGGAATGTTACAACAGGAATATATTCTCCAGGGAATGTTACAACAAGAATATATTCTCCAGGGAATGTAACAACAGGAATATAGTTGATATGCAAATTGGACGGTTTTATGTCAATAAACAAATATAAATAAATACATAATTAAACAGGACGGACAAAATTCATACAATTTCACAAAATCATAATATCATGTATAAAAAGTTTTTTCGTTTGACAAATTAAGGACGAAAAAATAATTTCATGAAATTAAAAGAATCAGATAAGATAGATAGAGCTATTGTGGTTTAAGGAAATCAGTGATATATAATGCATAGAGTACCAGAGAGTTTGTATAATAATCATAAATATAGAAACAGGTTAGAAAGCATGTATCTAACACACTGCGAGCTAATTGAAATAAGGTTACAATTTTGTTTCCTTATTATTATTTTTTTGTCGGTCTGCATTATAGGTCGACGAAAATAATGACGAAACGAAATTGTAATATTCAATCATATTGAACTCACGAAGGCACCTGGTTGAGACGTAAAACTCTATTACATCAAACTTGTTCTTTGAATGCAGTTTTAATTTTAATACTAGTACAATAATAAATACAGTATAATTATCTAAAGATATTCTAACACCATAAAGATAACCAGTTGTGTATGGTGTGGATAATGA